GAAGTTCATAATAAGAAGAATTTGTTCAACCTTTTGGTTTGAATTCATCATTTGAGGGATCAACATTGCCAGGAAGAGTTCATAATGAGAAGAACTCGTCATCTGAAGAAGGAAGAAGAAGTTCATAATGAGAAGAATTTGTTCAACCTTTTACCTAAATTCATCAAATTGATGGATTATTTTTTCCAGAGAAAGTTCATAATGAGAAGAACTCATCTGAAGAAGGAAGAAGAAGTTCATAATAAGAAGAATTTGTTCAACCTTTTGGTTTGAATTCATCAATTGATGGATCAGCTTTTCCAGAGAAAGTTCATAATGAGAAGAACTCATCTGAAGAAGGAAGAAGAAGTTCATAATGAGAAGAATTTGTTCAACCTTTTACCTAAATTCATCAATTGATGGATTATCTTTTCCAGAGAAGTTCATAATGAGAAGAACTCATCTGAAGAAGAAAGAAGAAGTTCATAATAAGAAGAACTTGTTCAACTTTTTGCATAATTCTATCACAGAAGGAGATAGATTAGCATCAGCCTTTCTAGAGAAAGTTCATAATAAGAAGAACTCATCAAGAGCTTATTCAACCTTTTGAATGACTCTATCACAGAAAGGAGGTCATCATCATCCCCAGCAAAAAGTTCATAATAAGAAGAACTCATCTGGAGAGAGAGAAGAATTTATTCAATATATCCATTATGATCAAAGTAAAGCCAAATGGATAAAAAAAATTTATTATCTTTTCATCTTTGCCCTATTCTTGTTAACACAAGAATGAGCAAAGAGGGGCAGCTGAAGATACTAATTTTTTATCCATATTATTATTATTATTATTATTATTATTATTATCATTATTATTATTATTATTATTAAATATATATTAAATATATATATAAATAATTAATTACAGGCCAATTACAAATGGATCGGCCCAGTTACAAACAAACCAGAACCGGTCCAGAACAAACCAGAAACCCTAAACATTTGGGGGTTTCAGTTAGGGTTTCCTAACCCTAATCTAGTCGGCCGCCTCATCACAGCCGTTGGATCTTAGATCCAACGGTCCAGATTGCCCCAGATGGAAACCCTAGGGTCTGATACCCTAGGGACACGCGGCCGCCGCTGCTATCTCGCCGCCTCCGCCGCTGCCACGTCCCAACCGAAGGCTCCAGAAGCTCCAACGCCAGCCGTCCACGCCATGGCTACGGGGTGAGTCACCACTGGTAGTCCGGTGACTCACCGAGACCCCATCTTCGGACCGGTCCGATGGCCACACCGGTGGTGGCTATAAAAGCCACCACCCCAACCTGAAAAAAAAAACAGAGACAAAAAAAAACGGAGAGACAGAGAACACAGAGAGACGGAGAGAAAAAAAAAACAGAGAAAAAAAAAGATATACTAAAAAATATACCAACGATCTCAGTCAACATCAACGCAGCAAGAAAAAAAAGGAGAGAAGAGAGGAAAGAAGCTTACTCTGTCATCGGAGAACCCCAACCGTCGCCGGATACAACGAAAACCGAAGGTATTTTTGTAGATCTGCTCCGATTGGGAGCTTTTTAAGGAAAAAGAACACCGGAAACGGTTTTAGACCGTCCCGATCTATATTTTGGTGGATTTTTGTAATTTCCGGCCACCATTAACGGTGGCCGGCAGCGGTGGTCGGAGCCCGGTAGCGGTGGCTGACCGGGACGGCTTCTCTCAGTTTAGAGAGAAGCCAGAGAACTCTTCTCTCTCTGTTTGAGAGAGAAAGAAAAAAAAAAGAAATGAGATAGCTGGCCCGAAGGGCCAGCCGGTTTGGGCATTAAATAGCCATTCCCAAACGACGCCGTTTTGGGGAGGGCTATTTGTGTAATTTTATAAATGTTAAACCCTTTCCGTAATCCCTATGTTTTATATGTTTTACATTTTAGTCATTAAATTGAATTTATAATATTTTTAATTCAGTCTTCGAATTTTAATTTCTTTTATTTTAGTCCTTTATATTAAAATAATATATTTAGGATAAATAACAGATTTAATCCCTTAATTTTAATAGATAATATTTTAATCCCTAGTTTATATTTTTAATTTATTTTAATCTTATATTCGAATTTTAAATAAGTTTATTTTAATCACTAAATTATTAAATAAGAAAATAGCATGTTTAATCCTCATAATTCTGATTAATTATGAATTGTTTTTTTTTTATTTTTAATTTTACTATAATTTAGTCCTTATTTTAAGTATTGTTTATTGCTTTTAAATATATGGCTATAATTGTATTTTTTATTTTACTTGTTTATATATATTTAAATATTTTTATTATAGTCATAAATATATATATAATAAATAAATATTTATTTTAAATAAATTATTTTAATATTTATTTTTCAATATCGAAGAAAAGGACAGTCTTAATACAACTGGATGTCCTATTCTGGTATTTTAAAATAAAAAAAAATATATATATAAAAAATATTATCAATATCAAAGAAAAGAGCTGTCTTAAGGCACCTAGAAGTTCTTTTCTGATATTTTAAAATAAATAAATATTTTTTTTATATATAATTTTGAAATAATAAAATTATAAATTAAATATATTTTTGAATTTTTAAATAATAGAGACAATTTATAATTAAAAAGTACCAATTTTGGGCGTTGTAGGGGTGCTAATCCTTCCCTAAACGTAACCGACCACGAATCCCTTTTTATTATTAAAAAGAATGAATTTTTGGTTATAAACGCAGATCAGTTCATTTTTTTATTAGTATTTTCTTTAAAACTCTTTTAAAAAAAATAATTTTTAGGTATTCGACCTACCTGACCCAAAAGGCCGATGGCGACTCTCAAATTATTTTCAAAAACATTTATTCACATCAATTTTCCAGCCAAATTTAAAATTTTGTGCCCGGACCAAAACCGGTTACGACACTATGAACACAGCAACATGGAAGATGGTTATCAAAGAATCCACAATGTAATCATGTGTAATCATAGTAAAAGTAGCAGTTCCTGGAGAAGCCCTTCGTCAGAGTGTACCAGTTCGAGACAACCCCGACTAATCCAAGCAGGATACAAGTCGACAATATCAGAACATAGATTGATGTAATGAAAGGACCTTTTAACCTTGTATTTTTTTCTTGCAAGATCCCGGAAGCTGATCTGTTTCTCAGCTGCATATACCATGGACGCTGCATTAACAGTCAAGATGATGTTGAGGAGCCCCAGAAGATAACAAGGTCCCATGTAAAGAAAAAGAGTTTAATCCACTCAGTAAAGAGTTGCCCTTCAGAGATAGGCTCATTGACAAGGTAGGGAGCCGGTTAGTCCAACTCAAAATACACATAATCTGAAGATGATGAGATGAAATAGATGGTATCAAGCAGCGTTGTATGTAGGACGATCTCAAAGAAAACCGAAATAAAGAAGGAAGAGAGGTAAAAAGGATGAAGATGATGAAGTTGATATGTTTATAGGGAAGTGATAGATATTCCTCGAGTATATCACGGAATTCAAGCTTCTTCTTCAACATAATTCGAGTGTAATCTGTACCCATTTTTGGGAATGCGCTTATCTCGAACCATATGCCTTCTTCTTAAGCAAAGATCAAAGTCTTCTCTTTTTTTCGTGGACGAAAACTTTGGACTTTTGGGAAGATACTAAGAAAACGCCTATCGGACATTGAATGCAAGTGGCTGTAAGTTGAAAGACTTTTTCAAAGATGCACTTTGGTCAACTGGTGGATATATGAATAAGATATGAACATAAATTGCAACTTAACTTTATTTTATGGTCCAGCCCTTCCTTTCCAAGTCCAAATTTAAGATGCCTCGAGCCATCAGCAGGCACACAGATACTTCATCTGTGCATTGAACCATGGTGGGTGATTGATTAATGAAAAAGCTCTGGACTTTAGCATTTTATGACTTTGTTTAATAGCTTCTACACTTGGTTTGCCTTCATCATTTTTCCCCCACTTGCATTATTTTCTTTATATATTTTTATATAATAAATGCATGCATGCATAGACGCATGTATAAAGAATGTGATTACTTCCGCTGGTGAAAAGGATCAGACTTGTGTTCCATTGTAAAATAAGTACATTTAAAAAGAAAATTAAGGAAGCATTCTGCTGGAACTTGAACAGTTGCACATCCAAATCATTGAATGTACAAATAATTGGTTATCAAAGAAACATTCACCTGGGGAAAAGCAACCACTGCTGAAGGTAATAATTGTGAACCAGTGTATTATATTAGACTAGAATGTCCACCAGTGTATGTAACACACACAAGTATCAAATTTACAGGGGCGGAATGTAACTAAATGGAAAGTTAAACCATTAACCCATATCCGCAAATAAAGATTCAAAGGCATTAGGCACCCCTATACAGAACATACTTTCAATTACTTACCTCCGGAGCTTTGCAGATAATCCATCACTTAGATGATCATCAAGTATGTTGCAGCAGGTTGTGGCAACTTCCATGCTGAAGCAGCCTTCGAACACACGACGACGCAATGTGGAAATAAAAGATCCAATACCATCAACACCAAATATGTCTCCAAGGAAATGTATGAGCACCCTACCCAACATCAACAAGTAGTGCTAGACGAGATAAAAGTAATACCGACACCTTCCAAAATCAGCTACTAAGAAGGGTCTTGCACAATTCAATTTTGGGCTGAATATGAAGCAATCATACAACTAGATGACGAAGTGCAGAGAAGCTAACAATAGTAGATCGATTAACAGCTTCATCGTCTTAAAAATTTTAGAAGTGTTGTTGCAGATGCATACACCACAAACAAGATCTCAACCAAATCCTGTTCGTTATTACTAGCGAATTCAATATGTAACTCAACCTTCTACAACATGCAGGAGCGACGAGGAGTAGAAGAGGTGGTGCAGAGAAGCAATAGTGAGGAAACCATGTGCACTAAGAAGCAGTAAAGAGGCGAAAGGATGCTGTTTTACTTCAAAATCAAAAATAAAAAAACATAAAAATCCTTTAGAATCATCGATCACAAAAAGACAAACTTACCATAATAACTAACTTACATAAAAAGGTAACAGAGAAATAGAAGTAGATAACAATATGAAGCAAGAAAGGGACTTCCCAGTTTCATGTGCTGCTTACAGCAAGCCATCACAGAATGGTGTCCAAGGCACCCATTTTGGAGGCTGAAAACACTTTGCAGAGTGGAAGCCACGCAAGACCATAAGTTTTAACGACCCCATTGTCACGAATCGAACATAAAATAAATCTCTTCTGCTCACAGAAACTACTAATACTACAGTATTACATAATCTTGTCCCTAGATATCATTCCAGATTTGCTCAATCCAGGTCCCAGTTTAATCTCTGCAAAAAAAATTAAGCAAAGCATGTTAAATATGGAACTACATTGCAAGTACCAAAAATAAGATCTGGTGATTCAAGTAATTTAGTAAGCATGACTTACCCATTAGCATAAGGTGAATCATAACGAGCACGACGATATGGAGGTGACCTGCTGTAGCTGCGACCACGACGAGGTGATATGCTCCGTCGCCGAGGTGATCTTTTCCCAGGTGGACTGTAGCTCCTGCCACATGATATAAAATTTTATAAGCATGTAAAAATAGCAAGTACATCTCTTCAGTAGTCTGCGTACACATGTTCAAATGACTAATCGTTACAATCCACACAAAAAAAGGGTTTAGACTTTAGATAAAATAATAAGCCTTATTATCCAGATTTAATATGTATTCGAGCACATCAGGCTTTAAAAAAAGTCAAAAGTTATGGATTCTTAAATAAGTAGGGCACAAGTGCAACTCAAGTTTACCTCAATTATACAACCAAGAATATATATCCATGCATCCTATGTTCACTTAACGATCATTCATTCAATAGCCAATAAGAGGAGAAAAGCATTTACTTAGCATAAATAAAGGCATAACATGTATTGTAGCATTGCATAGTACAGTCACCTTTGTAAACCTTATTCAGCAGAAGCCCTCCTCCTACAGCCTCAAATATAATTAGTGTATATATGTAAGAACCATTAAACACACCTGCGACCATATCCATAACTTGGGCTACTACGGCGACGAGGATTGGGGCTCCTACGTCGCCCATTCCCCATGCCCCGTGAGCGGCATTCACGAGCAAAGTGACCAGGTTCACCACACTCATAACACTTCAAATTCTCACCCCCACCACTAGGGCTGTAAATGAGACGAGACAGATCGCGAGCTACTCGAGATCGACTCGATAAATACTCGGATCGAATGGACTCGACTAGAGCTCGAGCTCGACTCGATTTCTTAACGAGCCGAAACGAGCTACTCGACTTGAAAAGCTCGTGAACAGCTCGAGAAAATGTTATATTATAATTTTAGATTTTTTAAAATTACATTATTAAAAATACATTATTGATAATTATAAAATTTTATAAATATATTAAAAATTCTATAATAAAACTAAGACATCTCATCCCTTATAATTATGTGATAGTGTTTATGATTTAGTGTTTAGGGTTTATGATTTAAAGTTTAGGGTTTATGGTTTAGTGTTTAGGGTCTAGGGTTTTACAGATGCCATATATCAAAAAGGACAGGCTTATGCCTTGCATGAAACTGGAAAAATATTTACCTGTGACCTCAATGCGCCTTCTCCAGAGATGACAGAGTTCTTAACCAGTCCAAGCAGGCCCTAGAACAAGCGGCACTCAACTAAAGACTGATATCTTGCTGAAATACGAGAATTACTGCTTTTGTACCACAGGAAGGATCAAACTCTCACCAGAATCAGCTACAGAACTATGTTTGAAATATTCATTATAGATTTCAGTCTGAAGAATTGGATTCCAGTAGAATATTTGGGAAAATATGCCTTGTTTTGGGGGCGCTTAGCCAGTCTTTCTCACTCTCTGAGTTGAGAGTCAAAGGCATTAAAAGGAGCCACATATATTTCATTGATGACTGTATTCATGCTGATTACTATTACAAGGTGTCAAGGAGTAGGACAGAGGATATGACATGGGAGAGTTCAATTTGAAGAGCGCTACCATTGGTTTCTAATTTCTATCCTACCAACTTCAGGCTTACTTATCTTCCCTGGATTTGGGACTCTCCATCTTTACAATTAAATCTTAACTAGGCCGCAAGTTCATTTATCCATTTGTTTTAAAAGTTTGAGATCTTCATGAAATCCTCAGAATTATAATGCTGAAAAGTTCTCATTTTTATGTTCTCTAAACCAAATTAACCTCTTTATTTCATCATAAAATTTTCATTCCATGCTTCTACATTTCCATATCCTTAAAACAAGTATATCCTTTTAAAACATTTGCTGGCTTTGTTTCCCCTATAAATATCTACCCAATTCACAATTCTGAATATATGCGGCATTATGATATTCACAGCAGTTTCAGATCCAAAACATATTACAACCTTAGGCTCTTAGCCATATATTAACTTGGATACTGATTATTCATGTCTCTTAAAGAGAATGATTTATTAATTCAACATTGACATGTATGTCATATATAGGAAGAAGAGAATTCAAAAAATTTAAGAAGAGAATTCAAAAATTTTAACTTTCGCCATAACTAAAGAAGGTTCTATTTCTTCTCTTATTTATTAGCATTCACCAGAACTTAAAAAATAATCCTACACAACCTTTGCATCGGACAGGGAAAAACGTTGTTCATGACAAAGAACATTAAAATAAAATACCTTATCACTATGATTACAATGAGATAACAGTTTTGTTCTTAAATCCACATAAGAGATCTATAATGGAAAATAGACAGTAAGAAAGAAAACACAACCCACCTCTTCTTAGCTAGTCTATTGATTTTTCTTCATTCTCGAAGTCAAGGACGGGGATTTAAGGTTTGGCTCCGAAGTTCTGATAATGAACAAAAGTGTTTCAAGGAGCATGCCAAAAACCAATCCAAGAATACCTCCAGCAGAATTCTGCAGTATAAAACACATCATCATCAGCACACTCAATTCTTAAATAAATAATCTAAAATAAAGAGCACATAACATAAGATTTGAGACTCCTAGTCTGAAATTACCATGATGGGATTGTTGTTAAACAATGCTCTGAATGCAAAATGTCCAACCAAATACCCAATAAACATTATCAGCGCAACATGTAAACGTGTTCATTCATATATCATCGAAAGTAATAAACGATATTGTTAAGAAACAGTATGACAGTTATTATCAAAGAAAACTACTAACCAAAGCCAATTTGAGTAAGTAGAGAAAGGTTCATAGACATCCTTCTTAGGCGTTATATCGTTAACAAGTTCCTGATACTCTCTCCTCTCTGCTTGTTCTTTAAGCTTCCTTAACCTCTCCTTCAATTCTTCACTCTACAAATTCGAATTTCAAAAAGAAAAGGAAAAATATGCATCGCGGTTAAAACGAAAACGCGACCATGAAAGATCTAGAACGCTAGAATCTAAATCGTGTTTAATTTTACCTTCTCTCCGGGTTTAGGGCTGGCGAAAACGAAATTAGATCCGTAGAAAAGAGAAATCAATGCGGGCCTAGTCTCAACATCTGATTGGATCCATAAGCTTCGAATCTACTTGTATGATGCATTGGTTGCCGACGAAAGAGCGACAACAAGTTCTCGAAGCTCTTGAGAGAGACGCTGGTCGTCGGAGACGGAGAGGAGAAATGCTCGAATGTATTCAGTCACCGTTATCACGAGTCCGGTTTGGTTTTTTATTACTCAAGAAGCTTTGTTTTTGAAACAGAGAGTGAAAAGAAGCTTGGAATATATGAATTATGCATTTGTGAGTTGATATCCCACATCGGTTGTCCACGGGGAATAAGGGGGTAAAATGAGTGTATAAAAGGGGATGGGTTTTCAGCAAATGAATATTAACCCGTCGAGCTTGAATCGAGCTTGTATTGAGTTTTGAGTTTCAATCGAATTTCTGATTTTTTTTTTTTTGAGTTCGAGTCTTTTCGAGTTTGAGTCGAGTTTCAATATTATCTTTCGAGTTTGAGTCGAGTTTGAAAATTTTAAGCTCGCGAGATTTCGAGTTGAGTTTATCAATTTAGTTTTCGAGCTAGAGTCAAGCTAAGCAATACTAGAATTTGACTCGGTTCGTTTACACCTCTACCCACCACGACGTCCACCACGGCCTCCACCGCCTTTAGAGTTATGAGAAAGTTCCACACGCCAACCATTCTTGCCTTCAAGGAGAAAATAGTAACAGTAAACAAATTTCAGGTCAGTCTCAAAGGATAGATCAGAAATCCATCATTGATTTTAAGAAACCGTAACTGACAGAGTCAAAGAAGAAACAATTAATTTGTTTGACACAGCCACAACAAATTAAAAAATAGACTGCAAACAACTAGTAAACAATTCCCAGCTTGTGAAAATACTAATAAGAATCATATAAAACATCCGTCTTAACATGTATATCAAAGCTTAATTGTTAATGGATTTAAAGCATAAGCAGCAAATAAGGTGAGGGACAACAATAAATGATCAATTAAAGACCAAGTGCAAGATTTGAGAAAAGCGACAAATGTCAAATGGATAAATTAAACACCAAAAACACCAAGAATCATAGTAAAAATTGGAATAGAAGTATACTCACCATCAAACTCACGGATTGCGTCCAAAGCATCCCTGCGGTCATCAAACTCAATAAACGCATATCCTGGTGGCCTTCGAGCTACCCAAACACTGAATTCATTCCATTAGCAACTAACCAATCAAACTGTATAATATATGCACATATATAAACAATAAAACAAAAGGTAACTTCATTTAAATGCCACACAAAAAACCCGAAAAGCTTCGAAGCCACCATCTAAAACACAACTATTCATGTCTCTATCAAAAATTAAGTTTTTCCTTCATTCAGAAAAATAGTATTATATTTACTTGTGGAGAACGCCGAAAATCCTAAACTCGTCTTCGAGATCCCTCTCAGTGACCCGAGGGTCCAAATTCCCGATATAAACCCGAGACATTCTTGAAAAATCACTGCACACCATAAATAATAGCAGCAATTAATTAAAAATCGTTAAAATTGAAACAACCAACAAAAAAACCTAGGAATAGGATCGTTAAACAAAGGTCTGAGAAAAGTTAGGGACTTTTGAAGGAGACATCGAGGGAATAGATGTGACTTAGAGAGAACATTATTAGGAGTTACCTCGAGGAAATTTATAGTGTGCTTTACGGTAGAAGAGATAAATCGAAAATTGAAGCAAATGATCGATTACGTCGGCTCTGTCGCACTTATCGCAAAGCGTTGGGTTCTAATTAGAAACCCTAGAACATGAAATTGTAAACTGTTTTTTAAAGGTAAATTAATGTAGCGTGTAAAAAGGTCTACAGGCTCAACCGCTCAAGGGATCGGACCCGGTGGCATGTGGCCTTTCTCTTTGCTGGACCGGGTACATTAATAACCTACCGATTGACAAATGTTCGGTATGTCTGTACTTAGGGTGATCGTTTTATGGTTCATTATATGCATGATTTCGGCTCTAACGGGAAAATGTATTTGAATTGTCATTGTTGTTGGTGCCCTCTTTGGGCTATCAAACCCTCGATCCTCACCCATTACAGGTTTCAAATGAAACGAGTTCAATTCGAGGGGATTCACTTCCTTATACACATACAATGAATAAATCCCTACGAAAATATAAGGCATGTGTATCCCAGAGGTTATTTACTAAGACTCATACGAAGAATAAATTCTTATGAGTAAAATGTTCACCCCTACTTACTTGGGATGAAACTCGGGTATAGAGCTTATGTCATGCATATGCACAACATACAAATATTTGGCTCAAAAGAACGGAAAAGTCTCGACAGAAACTTTAATAAAGCTGAAAACATAAATTAAAATGTTAGTATGATAAAAATGTAGAAATTAAAAAAGTTTCAAAAAATGGATCATAAGCTAACTATAGACTCGAACTCATAATTTCCACCACTACGATAATGTGTAAACGACCTACAGTCTGACTCTCTAAAGCCCCAGTGGAGTCGCCATTTTTTTAAAATCAATTAAGTTTAAAAATAATTATGATTTTATTTTGAAAAATTGACGATTTTGAATTAATTTGAATTATTTTGAATCGGAGTCGCCATCAATCTTTGAACTAGGTAGGTCGAATACCTAAAAAATTATTTTAAAACTATTTTAAGAAAAATCGTTTTATAAGAAAAAAAATTGGTCTACGTTTACCAAAAATTCGATTTAACAGGTCCGGGAGTCGATTACGCGTGGGGAATGATTAGCACTCCTACAGCGTACAAAATTGGTACTTAGTCGCTTATATATTATCGTGGTAATGGAAATTATAAATCGAATATAAAGTTTGAATATGATCCATTTATTAAAGTTTAGATAATTTGCTTCAAATTATTTATTAGGAAAAATCCTTTAATTCGAAAAGAAATATCGAGATTTGCTCATCCTTCGACGGGATGCCTATCTCTTCTATTTCTTGTCTAAAGAGAATATTCCCTCCTCGATAAAAAACGTGGAATGAATATATATTGAAAATCAACATTTACATAAAATAAAATAAAATAAATTACTATTTAAAATAACACACATTGCATCATTTGAATAAAAACAAATTGATTATCATTTAAAAAACAAATTCAATTTATTTAGAATTCACATTTCATTCGATCGTCGTATCGAATTGCACTACTTCGACCAAGCAGTGCTTTCCACGCCCGTTCTACAAATCAATGTTCTTGAAAATATTCGAGTAAAAAATCAATAAATAAAGGAGTACAAAATGATAATAAAATTAAATGTGAATTAAAAATATATAAAAATAGTTTATACATACACGTAATGAAACAACAAAAGAAATCTAGTGCAAATAACTAATAGCATTTATTCCACCTGAGACATATAGAACCATAACATACAAGTAATGACACACATGTACAAATATGTGTATATATATAGAAAGGACTAAAATAAAAACAATGAAATATTACAGGTCGGAATGCAAACAAAGAAAACTAAGCACTTGGTGATTCAAATGACCAAAATGATATTAATGAGGACTTGAAGGACCAAACAGTGATACCAATAACAAACAAGAGCTACAATCAAACATGTTAAACAATAACGGTACTGAAAACAAAAATAATTCATAAATAATATTAAGGACTAAAATAAATTAAATTAGAAATAGGGAAGGGTAAAATACAATTCTACCTAAAGGCATCCATTATAGAGAGGGACCAAAACAATATATTCGTAAACCTTAGGGTCATATTCAAACATCAACGAAAATGATATAACACATGTGATCAGTGACTTAAATATAAACGTAGGAAATTAAATACCCAAAGTAGAATATCAACATATTTCAATTAATGGCTTCATGATGAAAATACAAAACATGGGGACCTAAATCTTAATTATCCCCACGCTAAAATACAACCCCACCCCCTCTTAAAACTACGTCGTGTAGACTCAATATATTCCCACACTTAAACTCAAAACCGGTTATTCTTCATTTGTTTTGTTTCATTTTAGAAGAGGAAAGAGGGAGTTTACAAACTCTCTCAACTTCCTCGTCGGGAAGGGGAATCCACTGCTCACCAACAGTAAATCATGATCGCTCACGGCGGTTGGAGGGAGTAAAATGCCTCCGAAATAAACCTCACGTTCTCAATAACTCAGCTCCTAGCGCCACTTAGCCTAAATATTAACCTAGAAACCTATATCTAAATTTTACCTTTCAAAAACTTAGTCCGATGACCTTCTTCCAACAAACGTTGTGTCTGGTAAACTCTCATCTCTTTGTTTTTTTTTGTTCGAATGCTTTTCTCTTCTTCTTTTTTCTTTTTGGTTCAGATTTTTTCCTTTTTTTTAATGTTTTCTCTTTTTTTCCCGAAAAAAATGGTCTCCTTTCTTTCTTTTTATGGTGATGCATGTTGGATTTGATGCTTGCTTCGGGTGAAAATCATTAAACCTATTTGAAAGTGCTATGATTTCTCTGAGTTGAAGAGACAAAATCCCGATTTTCGGGATTTAACCCAATTTTTTAATTGATTTTTGACTGATTTGGTGCAAATTTTGTCATTGTTTGGTTAGACTACTGACAGCGATGGGAGCAGTCGGCGGTGATAACAACAACTCCCTAGGGTTAGGGTTTCAGAAACCCTAGGGTGTTGCTATTGGGTAGGGTCGGATCGTCTTGGGTCTTGCAAACGGGCTCCAATCGAGTGTGCTATTGGGCTCCAGTCTTGGGCCGAAAGCAGACGGGCTTGGATGTATTTGTTGTGGGCTTTATCCTTATATTTTAGGCTCCATTTGAGTCTGTAAAAATGTACAATATATTATTAAAATAATAATAATAATAATAATAAAACCCTGACAAAAACAGGTGTCTACACATATCTTGAACTTGAAGGTTGACACCTACACGTATTACGGGTCAATATAAATAAGTCAGAGGGAGAAAGGTGGTATTTTTCTTGCTGAAGCTCTTCTTGTCCTCGTACATTGTTCATCGTCTTCAATATGTCTCAAAATATTTCCGGCCGTGACCTTCTTTCCAAATCAAAAGAGGGGTCGTCTATATCAGTGTAACACATTGTTATCATCCACAAATGTCTAGTCCCGTGACATTTTAAGTATGACTCGCATCATAAAATGACAGTGCACGTTTTTTGCATTCCCCACCACCTTCTTATCTGATTTGGATTTATTGGAGAACTGGTGTTAATAGACTAAAGCTGCTTGCTGGTTCCCCTGAAGGTTACCCCGGACATGTCCATGGTAAGCCAAGAGAGGCGAGGATGAACCACCCAAAAGGGCTAGCGGTAGACGACAGAGGGAACATTTATATCGCAGACACAATGAATATGGCAATCAGGAAGATAAGTAATGCAGGTTAGCAACGTAATCACCGAGTTGTCCGACAGAGAAAATCGAGTTCACTTGTCATTTTGGCTTAACTATATATGCTTTTCATCCTTTATGCCTCTTGTCTCTTCAGGTGTAACAACCATTTCTGGTGGGAAATTGACACAGGGAAGGGGGCATGCCGATGGACCTGGTGAAGATGCGAAGTTCTCTAATTAACTATTTTGACGTTGTCTATGTTGGAAGCAGTTGCTCCCTTCTCGTGATAGATCGGGGAAACTAAGCTATCAGAGAGATTCAACTGCATTTTGATGACTGCGCCAATCGATATGGAAGTGGCTTCCCACTTGGTAAAATAATACACCGCCCGAATTTCATGTCCATTAGTCAGTATTCGAGCTTTACGCATTTTAATTTCTGTCATTGCAGGAATTGGTGTACTTGTTGCAGCCGGCTTCTTCGGTTACATGCTAGGTTTGTTGCAGCGTAGAGTAGGCACCATTGTATCCTCCAAGAATGCGAATGCTGCTGTATTGAGTTTGAGTACATACCAGACACCATCGATAGTAGTCAGGCCACCTTTGATTCCAAATGAAGATGAACAATTGAAGCAATAAGAAGGCTTTTTCGGATCCCTCGGGAAGCATTTTTTCAATGGCAGCTTATGCGTTTCGGAAATTCTCAGAGGAGTATTTCCTGATTTTTGAAAAAAGCCAGTAAGATATCAAATTCATCAGATCCAACACCAGCAACAACAGAAGCATACAATGCCTTGGCCAGCACAGGAGAGCTTTGTGATACCAGATGACGATGAGCACCCGTCGATCGATACCCGACCCCCAACCCCAAGAAAAGCATACCCTTTAATGTCTAAAGATGCGAAAAAGATCCATCAGTTGTTCCACATTGGATGGAATTCTAATACGCAGCAACAACGGTATCGATCATCCATCCAGCATACTTGCATTGAGCAGAGCCATGAGAAGAGCAATGAGATCGTTTCCGGGGCTGTTCAAGAACAAAATAGGAAGCATGAATCTATAGTCGTAAAGCCGGTTTATCATGGAGATAACATGTATGATTATCGCAACGACATTCACTTCCGATCAAATTGAGGTTAATTCGTGGATATTAAACACAGAACATATTTGTTCATATAGAAATGAGACTGTCTGGTCTGTGGAGCAACTTTGGTGCTTCTTGGGGTTCACTCACGCTAGCGTAAATTTTGTAAGGCTACAATGGCATCTTTTGTGGTGAACTTACGTTGATTCAACCATCGTCATCAGATTTTACTAGCTAGCTTATATTGTTGTTGGATTAAAGCCACGACATAGTGTATTCGTATATAAAATTAGGAATTCGAATCCGAACGTTATGAACAAAAATAAGCTGAATTGAATGGGCTAT